TTCCATATGCACCGTCACCACTGTTATTCAAGATCATCAAGCTTATAAAACATGCCAGTAATCTGTCGCCATGCCTCTTTTATTCTTTCCCTGTAATTAAGACATCACATTCTTTCCACCTGCAAGTCTGAACTGTTTGCCATGTTTGCTTAGTGCGCCTCCCATGGAAGGTGTGTTGACCCAATCCGTCCCTGCAGCTTGTTTTTGTTAAAAGCGTGCTAAAACTGAAAGTGAAAACGCTTCACATTCGACCTGCAAGAAAAAAAAGGTAAGTTTGCTTCCTTGCTGCTCCCCAAAAGTGTGAGACATTTATACCATTGAATCAAATTCAGCAACTGAATGAAAGGATGTGAATTAGGAGAGGAAAGGTGTTGCAACAGGAAAGCTTCCTGGTTTAACTTTCCATCTGCTCTGTTTGCAGCTTCGCTCAGAGAGAAAATGGCTTCCTGTGCTGAAAGAGACCTGACCTGTCCCATCTGCCACGACATCTTCAGGGATCCCGTTGTCCTGTCGTGCAGTCACAGCTTCTGCCAAGCATGCGTTCACTCATGGTGGAGGGAAAAGCTAATAAAGGAGTGTCCCCTTTGTAAGGAGATGCCTCTGACTAACCCCCCTGTGAGCCTAACGCTAAAGAAGCTATGTGAAGCTATTCAACAGGAGGAAAAACCAAAGCATCTCTGCAGTCTGCACGCCGAGAAACTCAAACTGTTCTGCCTGGATCACCAGCAGTCTGTCTGTGTGGTCTGTCGAGACTCAAAAGCACACATCAACCACAGGTTCGTGCCCATCAATGAAGCTGCAGCAGATCACAGAGAGAAGCTCCGGGAATCCCTGATTACCTTACAGCACACGCTAAAAACCTTGGAGCGAGCTAAAGGGAGATGTGATCAAAACGCCAAACACATTAAGGTCCAAAACAGGAACACGGAGAAGCAGATCAAGGAAGAGTTTAAGAAACTGCACCAGTTTCTGCAGGAGCAGGAGGAGGCCCGGATCTCTGCTCTGAGGGAGGAGGAGAAGCAGAAAAGTAGAGCAACGAGGGACGAATCTGAAGCTCTGAGCAGAAACATCACCCTTATTTCAAGAACAATTAGACAAACAGAGAAGGAACTAAAAGCTGAAAATGTCTCCTTCCTGCAGGCCTACAAAGACACTGTAAAAAGAATAGAACAGTGCCACCTGCTGGACAGTCCTGAACCATCACCTGGAGCCCTGATAGATGTGGCAAAACATCTGGGCAACCTTAGCTTTAACATCTGGAGCAACATGAAGGAAGCTGTCTGCTTCTCCGCTGTGGTTCTGGATCCTAACACGGCTCACCCTGAACTGACCCTGTCTGAAGATCTGACCTGCGTGACCCATGGAGAGAAACAGAAGCTTCCAGACAACCCAGAGCGGCTCGACCAGCGTCATCTGGTTCTGGGCTCTGAGGGGTTTACATCCGGGACCTACAGCTGGGATGTTGAGGTTGGGGACAGACCCAGCTGGGAGCTGGGTCTATCGGCAGAGTCTGTGGACAGGAAGGGCAGCGTCAGGTCTGGGTCATGGGGAATCAGGTTCGATGGAAGCTATAAAGCCACGGCCCCTCCAGGTCAAAGTTCTCTCAACATCGGGAAACCGAGCAGGATCCGAATCCAGCTGGACTGGGACAGGGGAAAGCTCTCATTCTCTGACCCTGAAAGCGGTTCCCACATCCACACATTCAGCCACAGCTTTAATGAGAAACTCTTTCCATACTTTAGCGTTGAGAAGGGGCAACAGCTGAAACTATTAGCTAAGAAAATCTCTGCAGCTGTTGATTAATGGCTCTCTCTGCTTTTTCTCATAGTAGCTTCATCTGGTCTGTTCCTGTTTGGCTGTGACTCCATCCTGGAGAGAAATATCAGCTGTGCTGCTGCCANAAAAAAAAAAAAAAAAAAAAAAAAATGGACTTTTGTACACTGAAAAAAATCGAAATCTAGATATGTCATTTTTTCTTAAAATAAGAGCTTTTGATCTTGGATTGAGGAGGTAAAAGAGACATCTTGCCAATGGAACAAGATAATTTACATTTAAAATAGGAGAAAACAATGTATTTCTTATTTCTAAATATCTTATTTTAAGAGTGAAAATACTCCTTCCATTGGCAAACTATCTCATTTACCTACTAAAATAAAAGATAAAAGGAGTAAATTTAGGAAATCTTTACTTATTTCTAGATCATTTTTCCAGTGTAAAGACATGTGAGATGTAGTGCTGATATTGTTTTTGACCAGTCTTCTATAAAGTTTGTATGTTTGGGAGAAATCAAATAAAACTAAAAAAAAAATGAATAAATAAAAGAGAGATTATGAAAAGATATCATCAAAAAGCTGAAACAATCTCACATTTGGTGGTGTTTTTGTGCTGGATTTTTTATTTATTTATTTATTTATTTTTTGTTTCGGCCCTTTTCATTTGAATGAACCTTTCCAGAGGTAACCAACGGACGTGACATCCCCGTGCACCCCCTGTGCTGCTTTTACCCTAATTGATAAAACAGCTTTAAAACAAAAGCAGCACAAACCAAACATTTTGCTGCACAAACATAGCTGGGGGTGCAAATGAAAAGCCTAAACCTCTCCGGCAGGCTCAGACTGGGAACTATTTTAGCCTGGGCATTTTTCTATCTACACTTGTGGATCCCCCACCCCCGATAAAAAGAAGCACAGTAAAAGCGTGCGTCTCAACACAATATAAATACACATGGTGGATTAACCGATCTATCCACTGAATGAAAATATAACCGAAGCAACATCCGCCGGTTATACCTGCTCTTGTAACATTTCATAGTTAAATATTATTGGTGGTTTCTGTTATTAAAATGGGAAAGTAGTGACATTAACCCCTTCACACCCATTGTTGCAAATTGACGTCCATTTATATGCATGTATTTACCGTAAATCCTCTAATATTGGCATGTATTCTATTAGCGGCCGGGACTCTAATAATGGCCTGTCTGCCTGTTGGCGGAGGTAAATAGTGGCCAGACTCTAACACAGGCGGGGGCTATAATTAGAACCAGTCCTCTACAAGATGTGATAGTAACATAGAAGTACCACAGGGGGGCAGTGTTTGCTAACGAATCTAAGCTATTAGCATGGGAAGTCCCATCCTTACACAGAGATCATAGCGGCCTTACACAATCGTTCCGATCTGAAAGACACATGTGATTAGCGGTAGGTTAAAATGACAGAATTTCGTTGGCCTTCGTCTGAATTACCCTTGAAATATATGATACAGGTAGCCTACTTCCACTTAGCCTGCCTCAAATAAAATCTCGCTGTGATAGCAGAACAGTTTACATAATTTTTTTTACATTTTTTTACTTTATTGTGCAAGTCAGTTTGGCCAAGATTCCATTCTGTGTCTTTTTTT